TAAGCAAGGAAGACAGTCTGCTGCGGAGCATATGCAATGGAGGAACAGAAGTTTCCATAGACTCAGAAGGTAAGTGGTTGTGTCCTGTAGACACTAAACGCTTCGACTGGATCCATTTGTTATGCTGTAATGTCTTGAAGCATTTGCCACTGATGTCAGCATTTTTAGTATGGATCTATTTTGACTTAATAGAATAGTTGTTTCAGATGCTCTGTTTTGAATTTATATACATACAAGTACTAACTTCATTCTAACATGAGTAGAACCTACAGTTTTAGTATACATTGACAAATAAAATCAAATGTTCTGCAGTGGAGGGCAATTATACAACTCGTGATCTTCAGCAGCGATTCTCAAACTGCTGCAGGTCGAGAGTCGTAAGGGGCGGTGGTCAACCAGCTGATCAGTCTCATATATCTGTTTGTTTTCTTTTCTTTTTGTGTATTTCTGTATCATAGTTTATGTTGTGCACAGAGAGTAACGTCACAGCCACACACACAACATCAACCTTTGTGTGGAAGTTCTTAAGTAGAGGTAATCATAAAGCTCTGTAACACCTGCTAGGTAAAAACATGCAGATGGTGTGGCTTGATGCAGTTATCCAATATTCAATGTTTTATTATGAACATGAGTTTTGAATTTCTATTAAAGCAAAGTAACAGTTTGGCCTGCCAATTCTAAAAAGTAATCGTAATCGGCCAGGCAAATTGAGGTAGGTGCATCTTTAGCTTTTCAAACGTCAAAAATACTGTACTGAGATTTTTAGACAAGGAGTTTGACTCTCACACGCTGACTTTTACTACCAACGTTATCTGGTGTGGTCATGGTGTAACCGACACGATCAGTAGTATCAGAAAGGTGTGTCTTTGTTGGCTGTTTCCCCTTTTTTTTTTAAGAACCAAAGTTGACTGAAAAATGCAAATGACTGAACCATTTTCCTGCTGTCCCAGGTTGGGTCATTTTGGATAGGTGTGGCCGACATTTTGGACTGGTTCTGAACTTCCTGCGGGACGGCTCAGTCCCACTTCCAGAGGATCACAAAGAACTGGATGAGGTTCTGAAGGAGGCGCAGTACTATCGGGTCCAGGGACTCGCGCAGCTCTGCATCAGTGCCATGCAGGTAAGCAGCTACTTTTGAGAATAAACAACAAACTATTCCATATTTGCAGGGGGTATTTAAAATGTGGGGTTTCTCGTTATTTCTGATGTTAAATTGACTTTAATATTAACTTTAACAAGTGTGTTAGTTAGATTTAATGTGTTTTTAAAATCTACTTTCTTTCTTCACCTTCAGAAACAAAAGGATGTTTTTGAAACAGTGTGTCGCATCCCCATGATCACCTCAGCCAAAGAAGAACAGAAAATAATGGCTTCGTGTAGAAAGGTAAATAACTTTTTGTCTCAACTAAATGACAAAGGTGTGATTTATTATGTTTGGAGTGTATGCACAGTTTTCAAAAACATTGTTCCACTGTATACTACTGCTTTATGAGTATTTATACCTGTTTCTTTTCTCTACAGCCGGTAGTCAAATTGCAGAACAACAGAGGGAACAACAAATACTCTTACACCAGGTAAACTTTAAAGCTGACCGTGCACGTTTCTTTAGAGTATAAAAACTATTTCATAAGCCACATGTTTTTCCAAGCTTAATCCGAGTTCACTTCTTGACATTAATTAATTAATCTTTTCAGTTTAAACTAACATGCTCTTTCTCTCTCCCCTTTGTCCAGCAACTCTGATGATAACCTGCTGAAGAATATTGAACTCTTTGACAAACTGGTGCTCCGGTTTAATGGCCGCGTCCTGTTTGTCAAAGATGTGCTTGGGGATGAGATCTGCTGCTGGTCTTTCTACGGAGAAGGCCGCAAGATCGCTGAAGTGTGCTGCACGTCCATCGTCTATGCCACAGAGAAGAAGCAGACCAAAGTAAGTAATGTCTAGTTTGTACAACATGTCATTAAAGCAGTAGTCTGACACCCTTCTAAGGTAAGTATTAATACATTATTAAAACACAAGAGCAAGACTAGCCGTTCCCCCCTTTTTCCAGTCTTTAAGCTAACCTAACTTTCTGTAGCTCTATATTTGAACAGGAAGAAAGCGAATAAGCGTATTTTCCAACATGTTGAGCTATGTCTTAAACCTCTTATTAGTATTTTATTCATTCAAACGCCAGGTCTGAAACTGAATTGATTCTTTCTAGGTTGAGTTTCCTGAGGCCCGAATCTTTGAAGAAACCCTCAATATCCTCATCTATGAGAATGGCAGAGGGTCTGGACCAGGGGGGTTGCACCTTTTAGACGCCAGAGGCTCGGGGGCCTCACTGGACGAAGAGGGGGCTACCGGAGGCGAAAGGCGAGTTAGACGGATCCACGTAAGGAGGCATATAATGCATGACGAAAGAGGGCCCGGTCAACAAACTGTGTATAAGGACTAATAATGTGAAAGCATACTGCACGGAAGAGCGACTTCATGTATGTTCATTTTTTTTCTTCTCGAATGCTAGAATGGAAGAGACGTCCTTGATAATAGCAATAGCTCAGTAGGTAGATATTTCCTTAAATGTCTTGAGACGTCACTGCACAGACATGTAGGAGTCGATGACTGATGTGTAACAGAAGAGACGTTTTGCTTCTGTTTACAAGAAAACAAAATGTGTACATAATTTAAATAGGAAATGTGTAAATGTACCTGGGATGTGAAACTGGCATAAATATTTCTTGGCAAATGTTAAAGGGCATACTATGCAGGATTTGTCGGCTATTTGTAAACACACAGCATAAAAGTTGAACAGAGCTAAAAAAAAAAATTTTTTAAAAATAGTGCAACGGTGGTCGAGTGAGTTAAAGAGTGACGAGTCGAGCAGACCTGCAACGCTTTATCGACGACACAGACCAACCACAGTAGAGAGAGACAGGAAATCTAGCCTCTACCTTATTTGTTTTTATGTCCTGTGCACTGTTTTTGGTTGGGGGCTGGCCACTTCTTCCTAAAGGAAAATCTAATAAGAAAATAGTTCCAGACACCACCTAAAGTGGAACATAAATGATGATCGAGAGATTCTTTGGGTATGAGTCTATACATTGTTGTTATGGAAATCCTGCATAGTATACCTTTCTTAAGGAACCTCCTGCGAGTAACTGAATGGGCCTAAAAACCCAACTCTCACCTCACCTGTTAATGTGGGTGTTAATAATGTGCACTGGCACCCTCCTTTGTGTTTGGCTTATAGGAAATACTGTAAGTCAGTTTATTCAGGTTGTGAAACATCTTTCATTCGTTGGACTGATATGCAGCCTGACAGCGATGATATTCTAACACTGGAATAAAACTGAGTAGCCATTTTTAGGGAGGTTGTCTATAAATGAGATTGTTGAGCAGCTCCATTTTCTTTATTTAAATTATTACTGCTGTTGCTTCAAGATGTTTTATTAATTTATGAACCTAATTTATTGTTTGGTATTTAACTTTTTGTATTGTATGCAATCTTTGTGTTAACTAGTGCTCAAGTGAGTTTAATTTTTGAAATGATACAATGCACTCGATAGCACACACCAGATTTTGAATTGACACCTGTAAATGACTAATGTTTCAAGAAGAACCGTGACCATTTCCTTGAGAACTCATTTTGTTCTGAGCCATGACCTTTCACTTTATGTCTTATACCAAACCACTGAAATTTGCTCACAATAATTGGCCATAGAGTGATGATAAATGCAATTATTACTGGGTTGAATTGAACCTTCATGGAGGTGATACATATTTAATTTCTGATATCCACCAGTATCTTGTGCACACCTAATCACCCTGAAAACAAAACATTGAATGAGAGCAATATATATCTCTTAATAAAGTCCCCTAAGAATACCCTAAAATATGCACTAATATGACTTCCGTCCTATAGTGGTCATGAGAATGTTCTGAATAAATTATTTGTGAAATCCAACTTCAGTTTCTTGGTCTTATTGTTCTCTATTTCCTAAAGTGTATACAAAAGAAAAGGACTCAAACACTTACAGAAAGTAAAAAGTGTGTTTGGTTTTATTTTGCCATGTTATATTTTGGGACCTAGACAATTGCAATTGTTATATTGTTTTTTGTGATTCAACCACACTTGGGGAGCCTTAATAAATTACTGCTCGAATTACAAAACCAATGTAATTGTCAGTGTGTCTTTATTGAATAATCTAATTACTTGTCACTAGTAGTTTCCATATCATCTATTTACTATATACATTTGTTTTATTAGAAAAAAAATCTTTAGCCACCTTATCATGTGACATTATTACTCCAAACAAATACAGCATTGTATTACCACCTATACACGTAGGATGGATCTGTTTTTATTGAATTGTAGTGCATTTTCATTTTGTGGAAATATAGCTCCTAAAAATATGTGACATAATTATATCAAATCAACAATCAATCAATGTTTATTTATATGGCCCAATATCACAAATGTTACATTTGTCTCAGTGGACTTCACAGTTTGTACAGAATATGAATATCAGTATGACAATACGACACCCTCTGTCCTTAGACCCTCACATCGTAGCCTACAAGGAAAAACTTGTCCACACAAGAAACACGGAGCGTCCACACAGCAGCGTAGGGTTTAAGTGCTTTTTCTATTCTTTATGAATATTTTAATGAAAATAAATGAGCTTTATTATTGTTTAGCACATAATAAAGCAGTTAAAATAACATTGGTGTTGGTTTTGTGTCGTTCAACCCATATACACATATATCTATGGTTCAACCAGTATGAATTTCAAAACCTGAGTAAGAGCAAGGACCCGGAAGTGAGCTAACCTTTCTCTGACAGCCAACAGTCTGAAAATTAGCAGAAAGATCCAAAGTTAATGTTTTTAGAATATACAACCTAAGAAAACTTCACAGCTGTCATGTTAGGGCTTTCTAAGTAGACAAATAAGTGCTTCAAATTAATTTATAGAAAGAAAAAAAGCGCAAGTTTTTGTTGTATTTTGAAAACGCGCTGGTCTGACGTCACTTCCTGTCAAATCCTACGGCCCGCAGCCGCCAAAAAGGACTGAACATTGTCAGACATGGATATGTCAGAGAAAGAGAAAACAGGTATCAGCAGGTTTGTGTGTGATCAACTGCGTGATGAGCCAGACCTCAGGTACAGTTAAACAGTTCAAAAACGTTTTCATGTATTGCTGTTACTTTTTACTGACAAGGAGTATACTGGCCTTTGTGCTTTGACTGTGTGTGTGTGTGTGTTGCTAACTTTGGTCCACATGCAGTCAACAAGAATACACACAGGCAAACACTTGTTTAAAAATGTTTTTTATAAATGTTCATTAAACAAGTCAAACGAGCTTAATGTTGTGAATTCAAGACAAAAATTACGAATGCAGTAACTTGTATGCGCCAATTAACTTACCATTAAGATACGTTAATACAGACATGACGCATGATGTTATGGTTTTCACCCAAACACAATGCGGGAATCAGCCTACTTTGACGTTTATGTATGTAACGTTATCAGTTGCACACCGTTTGGTTGAAAGCATGGATGTATGGTTGAAAGTGGTAACTTCTAGTGAAACGAGGGATGCCATTTTTTGGAAAACAGTATGTCCATTTATCCAAAATACTCTTACATACAGCACCTCACAATTGATTGATCCTTTTTAATATTGTGTTAATAAATACAGCATATAGGCCTACCACATGTTATCGTCTAACATTTTGAAATGTACTTAAAACAATCTACATGAAAAACTAGTATTAATACACTGTAGGAATACTATTAAAAGTAGTGCCAACAAAATAACTGTTACTAACTGTATATCTGTAGACTTGGTATGTCTTAAATGTCCGGTTAGGATGTATTAGAACGAAATCTAAAATGAAAATTGTAAATAAGCAATCTGTATGTAAAAAAACCACCTGTATGTAAATTGTAAATAAGCCATCTGTATGTCAAATATGTCTTAAATCAGGGGTGCCCAACCAGTCGATCGCGATCGACCGGTCGATCGCGGGGAGATTCCCAGTCGATCGCGAGATGTGGCTAAAAATAGAACAACAATATTCAGTTTTATCGTTAATGTCCTATAACATAATCTTCCTGTGCCAGAATAATGCACTTGAACGCATCAAAGCTTTGTGATTGGCCGGCGTGACCCCATGTGTCGGGGCGTGGTTAGTGGGCAGTGCACTAATTCGCTAACGTTGTCCGTGTCAACAGGAGTGACAGTCCGCACACAAACAAGACCGCAATTATGGCAGAAGCAAAACATATATAATTGTAACTCCGAGTGGGAGGATGATTATTTTTGTATTCATTCCAATTCAAAGTCCATCTGTCTCATCTGCAATGCGAGCGTAGCTTTATCGAAGAAGGGTAATTTCGGAGCGGCATTTCAAAACAGTGCACAAACGCTACGAGACGGAATTCCCTCCTGATTCTGCCCTACGCTCCAAAAGGGGAGGGGCCTGAGAGCACAGCTAAATGCACAGCAGTCCATTTTCACCAGGCCCAACAACAAGAGCAAGGCTGCTACCATAGCATCTTATCGTGGCAGTCACGTTCTTGCGAAACACATGAAGTCTTTCAAAGACGGCGAAGTTGTGAAAGAAGCATTCCTGGAGGCTGCTGACGCGCTTTTGGGGGACAGTAAAAAACAGTAGCATTTCAACAGGTTTTTGATTAAAAACTCAAGTTAGATACCATTATTAATCAGCTGTAAGTTTTAGTTTGTTTGAATTTATTCATTATAATTATTGTACAAAATGGTATAAGAATTAGGGATGCACCGAATATTCGGCCACCGAAAATTATCGGCCGAAAATGGTTAAAAAGGCCCTTTCGGCTTTCGGCCGAAAGGGTTTTAGCACCGAAAAAATATCACCGAATGTCAGAACAGGCTTACGTTGGTAAGCTAACGTGTTGTTGTGATGACGTAATAAAGACGCGACGACCATGCTCGCGGCTGGCTCACAGGGGGGGGAACATTGACCTTTGTCATCGAGATTGCCCTGAGCCTTTAACAAATCGTATTAAATAATCTGATGACAGACTGTAAACAGAATAGCTGAAATTTTAACAAACTAAATAACTCAGTTTCCTCTAATCATTAACACATGTTTGTATCATGTAGTTAACTCCGTGTGTTGCTGCTAGCATACATAACACCTGACGTGGAAACGTTACTCGTGGATGGGGCTACAGAGCTGCTAGAAAGACGGTCGAACCCGGTACATTCCTCCGTCTGCATGCGGTGCACTTTTGCTAAATGTTTAGACAAATTGCTCGTGCTTACATGCTAAGCTCTTATTGCACTTATGGTAACAAGTATTCTCCACATCGAGACGGGTAAAGTGTAACCACACCTCGGAGCGCGTTCTCTCCGCCATCTCCGCAGTGTGCTCCGCTGCATGTAGCAGCTGCGTGTGTGTAAACTGCCCCGCCCCCTCGGACACAGACGGGGGAGAGAGATCTCGTCTGATCGAAAATACATCATAGACGCATTTGTTGTCTTTGCATATTAGAAACGAGTTGGCGACACTAAGACTGCGATATAATATATATAATACATGACATATATAAATGTACTGTATGCATTCAAAAGTGCTGAATAAATGTTTTATGGACCCATAATAGTGATTATTATTTAAGTTAAGTTTTGCCATAATCATGTCTATTTCCATAATCAGGTAGCTGAACAACATTGGTAAAAAAATGTATACATTATATATATATATTTCTATTAATCATTTTCGGCCTTTCGGCATTCGGTTTTCGGCCAACTGTTTCCTATTTTCGGTATCGGTTTCGGCCAAGAATTTCCCATTCGGTGCACCCCTAATAAGAATGCAAACTTAAATTGATTATAGTCTATTATCAATTCAGGTTAAGAAACTAGTGTTGCTTGCATCCTATTTTAAAAAGGCATTTCTTTTTATAATCTACTAAAATACAACAAAAAAAGGGTTAGATTCTATTAATTTTGTCTTTTTTATTGCACTTTGGCAGCAGATTCCTGTGTAGCTTCAGATCTGAGTTGTCATATTAGTAAGCCTAATTTATACTTTTGTAGCAACACTATTTTTATATAATGTCAAAGAAAGGGTTCAGAGTCTTTTCTTTTTTCCCTATGTCATATGTGGCAGCACTGTTCAATGTTTCTTGAAAACATTACCCACTGTAGTATGTGACGTGTGAATAAACTCTGTATCAACAACACTGTTGTGTAACTTCAGTTAAATACTTGTATGTGTGTAGATTAGAAAGAGGTAAAATAAAGGATCTGCATTATTTTATGGAGTATTAAGTGTACGAAGGTCAGTTTTATACGAAGTAGAAGTGTGTATTTACCTGGTAGTAGGCTGTCAGTAATGGCTACGCCTCTCTATTTGGACTGGTAGATCTCGGCAGACTGGCATCTTTAAAAGTAGCTCTCGGTTCAACAAAGGTTGGGCACCCCTGTCTTAAATGATATGATGAATTGGAAATGGGGGACCCTGATGTAAACGAGACGAAAGTCTTTCTCTGGTCTGCATTCCCTTAACAATTGTATGTTTTGAGCTGTACTGTACTGTACCCAATATACAAGCTGTTAATAAACTTTTCAATCAATCAATGACATACTCCCAGTTTCTTGCACTGAATGAAGTTGTCCATCTAATTTGGTAAATGAAGGTAAACTATGGTATTTTGTGTATAATCTATGAGCTGAAATTGGATATCCCATACTATCCTAATAGAATATTTTAAGTCTTTATCTGTTTAAGATGTAATTTAGTGTAATGTGGGTTTTGTTTATTGTCTTCAGGTATATTTCCTAAGCTGTGTTCAAAAACATAAGCTCATGTTAATTATGTTTCTTTCTATAAATGACCTCCCCCTTACACATCATGAAGTAATCTTTTTTTATTGTTTTATTTTTCCAGCACACTAACCTTAAGAATATTGAGAAAACGATACCTGGAACGTGCGCAATGTGACTCATTAAGTCCAGAGGTCAAACATTTCATCAAGCGGGTGGTTGAAGAGGCACTGATAAAAATGCAGGTATATGAATTACTCTTTAGCAAAAGCTTACATTTTCAGTGAACTGTAACTTTTATATTCATCAGCCCAGTTTCATACTAACTGCTAGGAAAATGATGAAAACGATGGTGAGCTGGAAACCAAGAATTCCCAAAACAAAAGGAAGAGAGAAGATGAGGTGTTGAGTGGGGGGGAAGACGAAGATGTATCCACAGCAAAAAAGCTCCGTCGTCGGTCGAGCCCATCCTCGGGTAGGTTATAAATGCTTTCTTTGTTTGACGTGTTTAGATTCTTCAAGTATTTATTCATTATAGCATGTTCTTCTTTTAATTACTCAACAGAAAATGCCCTGAACCAAAATTAACAGCTGGACTCAGGCGTCAAATAATCATTAATTTCATAAATGATTTTGTATGAGAAGGTTTGTTGTCTGTGGTGATGTAATCAGCGGTCTTCTTTTGTCCTTGTAGAAATCCATGGATATACAGGATGAAGTAAAAGAAAGAAATGCAGAATCTCCTAATATTCCAAAAGTTGGAAACAATAATGTTTGACATTTGAGTTTAGAAAATGTCAAACATCGATAACTTTCAACTCTTAAGAAGAATAAAAAACTGTCTTAAAACCACATTTTCGTTTGTTAGCCTTATCAACAAAGTCAATCTGATCATCTCACTCACTCTGCACTTATGTTAACGGGGACCTATCATGCAAGATGCACTTTTTGATGTCTTTTATACATAACTATGTGTCCCCGTTGTGTCAGGGAACTCACACAGCGTCAGAATACAAAACCCTCTCTCTTTTCCTTCGTACCCAAATCTCTAAAAACGGAGCTAATCCAGATGTGCGTCCGATATAACGTAATATCGGAAATGTAGGCTGGCTTTACACCCACGGCCCAATCAGAAACGTTGCTATCAGAAACAATGCCCGACTGTTTTGGACGTAATATGGTCGGTGTTTACATTAGCATCGCTAACACTCAGAGCTAACCTGTACTGAACAGAGCATGTGTGTGAAGAAGCAGGAAGTAAAAAGGAACTCACCTTGTGGTATAACCGGCAAGAGAGAAAGCCTTTGAGCTCCATACTGTTTCAGAAATAATCCTTGATAATCCATGATACGGCGTTTCATCACGGCAGTATTTAGTTTAGACAGTAGCTGCCGGGTCCCGCATGAGCTCAGCCCCCTCCTCTTTTTTTTTGTATCAATTCTTTTTTTTTTTAAAGCTTTATACCCCAAAGCAGCACTTTTGAAACAGGAAGTGCAATAGAGGGATATGAGCATGTCTAGAATGGGTGATCTGTTTGGTATTTTGAGCAAAACACTTCATAGACGTGTTTTTTATATATTTGTATATATCTGAGACCAATGCTATTGCTTAAAAATAGCATGATATGTGACCTTTAATCTTGTATGTATCCAAAGTGAGTCTTGTTGTCTTTTTGTCTTGTTATTGACAGAATCAGAGGTCAAAAAGGACTGCAAAACAGGAAGTGATGACAGTGAGGAGGAAGAGAAAGTGAAATCTGAGGATGAAAAGAAAGAGGTAAAGAAATCCCAGCGCACCACAAACGGGAAGAGTAAACCGCAGATAAGCAGTGAGGAATCATCTGATGAAGAAATGAATGAGTCAGAAAATAAAAGCAAAGAGAGTAGCTGTGAGGACAGTCCAAAAGAAAAGGCGATAAAGAAAACGGATGCGACAAAGAATGGAGAGTCGGGAAGCAGCGATGCAAGCAAAGGAAAGAAAACACCTCAGAGTGATGAGGAGGATAAACCCGACACAGAGAGCGAGTCAGAAGAAAGTGAACAAATGAAGGACAAAGACCCCTCAGATGACAGTGAAAAAGGTGACTATGCAAAATGTATACTTTCATGTAGGGCTGCTCGATTATGGCAAAAATCATAATCTCGATTATTTGGTATTGATATCACGATTATTAAAACGATTGTCCATTTACTTTGAAAACATCCATTTATTGAAAATAAAAATGTGAAAATTATGTTTTTAACAGTTAATACCCTGAACTTTAAGTATAATTCAACTGTTTTATTTCGATTATGTTGTTTTCATAATCGTTGCAAGCCAAAATCGTAATTGCGATTAAAATACGACTAATTGAGCAGCCCTACTTGCATGTCCTATACACACATTTTTATTTCTGACTGACAATATAACCTTTTGTTGGATTATGCAGAAGAAAAAGTCTTGGTGGAAAAGAAAAACAACGACTCTGACTCGTCACTCACCTCATTGGACGAGGAACAGAATAATGGAAAAGAAAATACAGCAGCTGGTAAAAAGAAGAAAGCCACGAAAAAAGTGGAGAAAAAAGAGAAGAGCGCCAGCGGTCCAAAGGTAAGCCCATGAGAGAAATCAATCTTTATAGAGTTAATTAAGTCTCTCTGTCAGGCAGCATACGTTTTTAATGCAGCAACATATTCAATTGGTCAAATCCAATGTATAATGTACTAGGGCTGATCGATTATGGCAAAAATCATAATCTCGATTATTTGGGTCAATAATTGATATCACGTTTATCAAAAACGATTATCTATTTACTTTGAAAACATCAATTTATTGAAAAAAAAATTTGAACAGTATGTTAACAGTTGATTACCCTGAACTTTAAGTATAATTCAACTGAAATAGTTTTATTTCGATTATGTTGTTTTCATAATCGTTGCAAGCCAAAATCGTAATTGCGATTAAAATATGATTTAATTGAGCAGCCCTATAATGTACATAGTATTTTCACATGGAAGTTAGTCAAAATACAAAGGATCCATTGGGGATCAGTAACAGCTTGTTAACTGTATTGGGGCATCCCTCCTTTGATTAAAAAAACGATGGTATTTTGAAAACAGATCACCAAATCATAGTCGTATGTTTGATAATTGTGAGGTTATTGCAATGTTGTATCTTCGACTCCCAACCTGTGTGTCCTCTGATTTATCATTCAGGGGGACAATACATCCGTTGTGAGGCTCAAGCGCTACATTACTCTCTGTGGCGTGAGGCTGAATTACAAGAAGGTGCTCCAGGACTGTCACTCGGTCCGCTCCCAGGTGGCTGTCCTGAAGAAGCAGCTGGAAGATCTTGGTGTTGATGGTCAGTGAGAGTACATTCACTTATTTGTTTTTCACATTTGCCCGTTATCAGGCATCTTGCGATCTTGTTTATCCGAGCATTAAAGAGCTCTTTTTAGGCCCTTTTTGGGTTTGCCCTCTCCTGAAGTGTGTTTTTATATAGGTTGTTGTGCATGTAAATGGTCTGCAAAGGCTTGAATCCCTCCAGAGGGAGTTTTCTGTCCAACACACCTTCCATAACATTGTGAAATCACCATGTAACACTCGCGCTCATATTGACTAACGCGCACAACACATTGTATGTGATAGGCTAACACGCTTTCACTTTCTTTTGTAAAGGACACAATTTGATTAACTTAGGGCAACAGAGATTTAAGTGATAACTTGCTTCTTCGCTTTTTTTTCGAACAGGTCAGCCATCTATTAAGAAATGCAGAAAAATCAAAATGAAAAGAGAGGAAACTCAGGAACTAGCTGATCTCGATGTCAGCAACATCATTGTCACAGAAGGTAACTTTTTTATTAGTTCTGACACCCATTACTAGATGTGGCCTTTGACCTGGTTGGATCAACAATTGCACAGTGCATGTATAAGAATGATCTATCGTGTTTGCTCATCATGTTATTGCACTTATTGCAAAATATAAAACCATTGATTCAATAGACCTTCTAATGTGGATACTTATCAGGTCGACCTAAGCGCAGAGGAACCTCTGCAGGGAAGGAGTGGCAGGACTCTCCATCCTCCACATATCTGCGCACTGTGAACTCCGGCTCTGATAGTGATGAAGAAAACAAACCAAACAGAGGGCGAAAGAGACTCTGGGCCAACCTGCAGGGGATCATCAGTGACGATGCAGACAGCAACTGACTGGGACACTAGTGTTCTTAGATATGGATATTTATCTTTCGTTATGTTTTTTGTAAAAGTTGGCTTTACGTATATTTTAGATACTATTACAAATGTATTTCTGAAACCTTTTGCAAAAAGATAGATTGTTGAAATCAACACATGACGTTACATGTCTTGTTATACTATGTTAAATGTAATTCTATGCTATATTTCTAATAAAGTTGTTGTGCTTTGATCAAATAAGTATTTACATTTTAACCAGAGCTTTAAACTATATGGGTTCCTGATTTATATTGCTTATTCTAAATTAATAAAAAAGTAATCAATAATGCTAAAAAGGACAGGAAATGTATTAATTCAGTTAATAATACATTAATATGGAAACAGGTAGTTAACAGCAGTAATAGCAGTAATAGTATGTGTCCGGACGGTCCGGACACATTTCCGGAACTAACGTAAGTAAGCTCTTGGATATTCGGAATGTTTTGCAGACGGACCAGTCCCACGGTGTAACGTGTCCGCTCGATCTCCTGCAGGTCAATGAGATATTTCTTGTTAATAATTATTGTACCACCCAAGTAATTGCCTTTTGTGTGTGTACGGCAGTATTATGTTGTGTTGTTGCTTATTAATAAGTCAGGACGTATTTTCAGTGAGACAACGCATGATAAAACACAATAACTGCATGCATGTGACCCTCAATCCCTCTGTCAAGTATCAGTAGGCCTACATAATAAAAGAAACGATACGAACATTACATTTATTGTAACTATCGATATGGCTTTAACAAATGGTGTGGGATATAATTGTTTTTTAAACCATGAATGAGTTTATCTATTAAAGATTAAAGTTAATACGGGGCAATATGTTTTTAAAGACATAAAAGTGCACGATATATCTTCAATTTAGCCTCGTATCGTTTGCTACTTCATTTGTTATGGTTGCACAAACTAATTCATTGTGATTTGCAAACTGACATCCAAGGGGTGTTTAAAAAAAAACGGGGTGTAAAAGGTAACACTAAGTTATAAACATCAGGTAGAACAATATATTGAAGCCACATTTAACTAGGAAGATGTATGTGACCTTTCAATATTATCTACAATCCCTTAGCCAAGCCTGTAAATGGGTGTATAAACAGGGGTGCACATAACTTCTTTGCCCTGGTTCTCAAAGGAGCACCTGGAGATGTTGCTTGGTGCTCATACTTAACATTAAATAAACCGTAACTTTTGAGGGGGTCTTTATTTGCCAGACACACGGCACTGAACACACATGCAGAGGTGAACACAGACCACACATGCAGAGGTGAACACAAGACAACATTAGCACGACCAGTAATCCTACAAGCTGTCATCACTACCTCCTGACGGTTCTCCTCACTGTCTTCCTCTCTGTCAGACATGGTAGCTGATGATGTAGGCCTACTACTTTCTCTCTGGTTGAGTCTGCGATTAGCTGCTTGCATCCACAAGTCAACAGCTGGTTTTGGGTCGAAAGTCTCTGTTGTCATCTTAGACAAGTGGATGTAATCAAATAAGTATACGTGAACATAACCAATAACCTACCATAGCCAATAACAAATGAATGTAACTTATTTTATCTGTGTTGTTCATTCATATCTTATTTTACCTTAACATTTATTTATTTATGCATTTTATTTTATCTCTCCAGTTTTAAAGGATATTTTTGGTTACTGTCCTATAGTATACATTGGAATGATTTAAAACCTGTTTATCCCAATAATTATAAAGGAGTGCCTTGGAAATATATGTTTACATAAATTGTGACCAAACCGTTTGAACTTAGACTAAAGTGAACTATCTAAACACTCAAGAGTCCTTTACCTCACTGAGCTGTAGTTATCAGTCTGACTGGAGAGGACTCTCCCTCCACATTATTGTAGAAACATCTTCTTCTTATATCCGTTAGAGCAGCTAGCACGGCACCAGATTCGAATAACAACAGCGCTGGTACCGGTGCTCGCTCACTCGCTTTGGCTGTGAGCTGCGGGCGCCAGATAAGCCAACATCCCCCACTTTCATCACTTACAGCGCCCATTGTACAGGGCAAATGAAACGTGTAACCGGGGTGAAAAGGGTGTTACATTTACTTAATTATGAATATTGTTACATCAAGGCCGAAAATTAGGATGAGCCCCAACGGTCAAAATGTTTTGTTCCCTCCCAGAACTACCAGCTCAGCACCTCCCCAGATCTGCCGCCCTAGGCGAACATCTAGCCAGCGCTACGGGCCGGCCCTGAGTTCATATCATGGTTCATATGCAACTCGCAAATATCTCTCTCTCCTCTCTCTCTCTCCTCTCTCCTCTATTTTCTCTTTTCCCTTCTCTCTCTCCCTCTCTCAATGTTGGTACGCAAATGTGCTTTGTTTCAAATGACCCGGTGCTCTTTTTTTGGCGGAGGTGCGCATGCGCACCTGCGCACCAGTTATGTGCAGCCCTGTGTATAAACTGTGTGCATATAGGTAAAATGTAAATACAGTGGGATGTGTGTTTTGCTTTAGTCTTTTCTTATCAAGCTAATGTGATTAGTTAACTTAACAAATAAAGATTTGGAAGTTGGAGACATTTATTTATATTTTTTAAACCAAATTGTTAAGGTTTCACTTTAAACTCTGTTGAATTGTGATGACCTGTTTTCACTATGTTTTGACAAACCAATCAATTCAATAATGTATAGAGAAAATAATCAACAGATAACTTTAAAAACATGAGCTCCACCCTCTATGGCTCCACCTCAACCAACTAAAACAGTAATCTTAACTTCATGCATGGCTAATAATAATGTAATTATATATTATACAATAGTATAACACTCACGAAAGACGTTTTCTTTCCAGTGAATACTTTGACTTTCACCAAACCGTTGCTACATTTTCCAGATTATAATTACTCTTTAACTCTGTGTGATAAAGGTACTCTAACGTTAGATCTAAATGCTTCCTCCACCACAAATAATAGATATTTCAAAATCTCCAGACGCTCTGACACAGAATATATTATTTCATCCAATAAAATTAAAACATATTTTTGAATACCTTTCCAAGGAGTTTAAGGAAATTCAAATAACATAGACCCAATATTACACATTCCACGTAGGAATGGATGACGATGCGCCAGATGAAGCCTTTAAGGAGCTGCACACGGGAGACATTGGAGGATGGGGTGTTGCTCAGATAGCTGCTGGCACCGGGCTCGCTGTGTATGTGATATGGACCGGATTCGTACAGCCAGGCTTCAGGAAAGTCCCCTTGAGGCTACAGGTATGATGTACATCTTAAATAAAGGGCCCCTATTATAATGTTTTTCATCAACATATTATAGGTCTCAGATATATACAAAACATGTCTCTGAAGTGTTTGGCTCCAAACACCAAACAGATCATTGTAGCATCCCATAATCCCCTCTGTTTCAGCCCTGTTTCAAAAGTGCTGATTCTCTGTCTGTTACTTTAGATGAAAATAAGGAGCCACTCCCCACGCCCCTCTGAGAGATATTTGGTTAAAAAGAACACAATGGTGCTCTAGGAGGAGATTCAGGTGATAAGGTGGGGGGGGGTACCTTGGTTGGTGATTGGCTAATAGTTACACAAGCCAAAAAAAATGTATGACATCATAAAGTGGCCAAAATCTGATGAGCTCATTTTCAGACAGGTTTTCATATAAATGGATCAGGACAAAAAGTGAGCGAATCTTTTTTCCTGAAACTTTCAGAATCTCTTTACACAGAGGGGACAGATGTTTATTAGGGTGGTCCTTAGTGCCATGTACATTTTCGAATTCATTTATTTTAAGCTCCAACCACCGGAATTCGTTATGATAGTCAAGAAAACTCTCCTGGTGAATTGTATTCAAATTCCAACAACATTTACCCCTCCCTCATCAACCTTGAAGTTTAGCCTCACGTAGGGTGGTCCTTAAAATTGAAAGTTTTCTTGACTAATAGAATGAGTTCTGGGGGTTGGAGCTTAGACTTTCCGACTTTCAATTTTAAGGACCTACCTAATGTTTATGTATAAAAGACATGAAAAAGTGGATTCTGCATAATAGGTGACCTTTAAAAAAACCGTTTTTCTTAATCAGAAGTTCTTTTTTATGTTTTCCAGGTCCCGTACATTCCTGCCAGCAGAGTTCAAGTGGATCATGTAATGAACTTGCTGAGAGGCCGAAAGGGAGGGCTTGTGGATCTGGGGTCAGGTGATGGCCGCATTGTGAGTATAAGCAGAATGTTTCGGCTACTTTTTCTTTCACTGCAATGGGCAATGATTGTGTTATTTTTTCTATCTTTAGGTCTTGGAAGCTCATCAGCAAGGTTTCACTCCCGCTGTTGGTTATGAGCTCAATCCCTGGCTACTCCGCTTGGCCCGCTTCAAAGCTTGGAGAGCAGGCCATCATGAAAAAGTTTCATACAGACGGGAAGATCTCTGGAAGGTATGACATTTATAATCTGTATTATGGCATTAGTTACTTTCCTGTTACCAAGTTAAATTGGCCACCATTAATTGACAACATTTCAATATTTAAATTTGTCTCGCAGCAATGTGTGTTTTTGCAACTACATTATAGTGTAAATTCAAATGTCCTCACTCTTAAAAAAATGTTGTATCTCTTCACAGGTCGACTTAACAGAATGCAAAAATATCACAGTGTTCTTGGCTCCTAGCGTGGTGAGTAGTATAATGTACAAATGCCTCTAAACTGTAAAATACCATCTCAATCTGTCAGCACAGGCTTTCGGTGTGGTTGTATTCATAACAAATGTATTATCATTGGGTCAGTTTCAGTAAATGTCTGTTGAAGTTTTTCTATTGTGTGTTATTGTTTGTTCCTAGCTTTCATTATTGCAGAAGAAGTTGGAGGCTGAGCTTCCTGAGGATGCCTTAGTGATAGCTGGTCGATTTCCCTTCCCTGACTGGACACCGTACAGGGTTGAGGGTGAGGGTGTGCACAGAGCCTGGGCATACAACATGCAAGCACAAAGACAAAACTCCTTAAAGAAAAATGACAGCCACGAAAAGCAACCTCAACAATGAACTCACCAAGGACTAAGGCTCCACTCGAATAGTTGTCCCTACTCTTTTGGACTCCAGAATGGGAACATTAATTTATACTGTATATAATTGAGTTACTGCTTATTAAAATACCTTCCATGGAATATTGTGGACATTTAACCTAACTTGACTATCTGAATGCTTTTTGACTACATCTTAAACCAGATTTTTCAGACAAACTGGGACTGAAATTTAAAATTGAATGTGCTCTCTTCTACAGTCTGGGTCGGGGGATTCTTTCTTTTGGCAAGGAGTGTGTTAACATTGAAGGAAAACAACACCTTTGCCACAAGAACACTGTAGAATTGTTGTAATTACTACCTAAATGTTGTTGCTTTGTTCATTATGACAGAAATTAAGATGTCTTTAATTATTTAGACAATTTTGGATTCCATTTTGCAGCTATATTTCTGCAGGTAGGATGAACACTAAAGGTACATTGTTTGTGGGTGATGGTCAGACACATAGTGATGTGGAAATGTCTGTGTTGGAAAGTGTGGAATGTGGTTTTTCCGGCTCCGGTCAAAAACAAACCCTTGTGTAAGTGCATGAGAGTTTGATTTTTTGCTGTTGCTATTTCTTTTAAATGTTATAGTGTTTTACCTTGTGTTAGTTCTGCTATAAAAGCAATTTCTCTTAAAACCTATGTATGGAATAAAAATTGACCTTTCTTATGCACCATGCTGGACATTAATCACCAAATTTCAGGTAATGTTTGTGGAGCTTTTAGGTAAAATCCCAATGTGGCTGACACTAAATGTTGGTTTACACTGGCTAAAACATGTAATTGTTGTAAAAATACAAATATATTTTCAATAATAAATTACTCAATTTAAATGTTGTGAATCACGATCAAGTTTGTTCAGGACTCATCCAACAGCATTAAACAGGATCTGATATGGTAAATGAATATGGTTTATCTGTGTGGTATGTGGGGAAAGGCTCAGTGTACACACTTTAGCAGATTGTGCAATGTTGTGCAATGCTGTCCTACATTAGTAAATCAGTTTTGAGGGAGAACACATTTCCATGCTGTCTCCACCAGAGGGACAATGATATATGAGCCTTTTTAATATTCCTTTAGTCCTTTGAATAGGCCTATATAATAAATAAATGATTATTTTAGCAGATTAAAATAAAAAATGTCAACCTTTATAAGTTTTGTGCTCACGGCATTACACTCTTTTGTCTTTAGTAAACACTTTAAACTTTGTCTTAAGTATTTGCAGTGATGGAAAGTAACTAAGTACATTTACTCAGGTACCGTAAGTACAATTTTATGGTACTTTACTTAGGTATTTAAATGTTATTGCTACTTTGTACTTCTACCTCACTACAATTCAGACGTAAATCGTGTACTTTTACTCCACTACATTTATTTTGTACCTTTGGAACCATGATGTGAAAACTTTAAAAAATGATTTTAGTTAGACTTAGAATCAATATATAACAGGGGAAAGTATTAAGTTAGCAGATTGTCTTTCTCTTCGAAAACAAAGGCCTCTTACTCTATAAATGTATGTGCTCGCGTATACAAATACACAATTGTTGTCTTTAGTGAAACTTTAAACTTTGTCTTAAGTATTTGTCAAAGTGTTTTTAAAGGAGCGGAAATCGTGCTTTTATTATTGTGACTGACTTGACACAAGCTGATTGGTTTGGTGGATTTTTTGCAGCTAAAGAGGAAGTTACGAAGCGAACCCTGTAACCTGCAGCAAGCTAGCTGTATCTTTGAGCCGCCCTAAGCACTGAGAAGAGGGAATAACAGGAACAAGAGCGCAGAGTATTATATATGTAGTGGTTTTACAAATCTGCCCGATGTATTGTGTGCATATTCACCCGCTGTGAAATTACTAACGGGAAAGGCAAGTTAACAACAGCCATAGAGAGGCATGTATATGTTTGACAGCTAGCAAATAATGCCTTCATCTTTCTAGAAGAGCTAGCGAGTTAGCCATCCGCTGCAACGCTAGCAGCTAGCTTCGAGCTATAGAAAGCTAATTAACGTTGCACATTTCTCCGGTGCTTGAGGTAGATGTTTCACAGAAACAGCGGTTTGTTATCTTACTCAACGGTAAATGCATTTAAACGAGAATGCCGTTAACTGACCAATTCGACGTAGCCCTTTCAACCTGAAGCCTATATGCTTGGTAGGCGTTTTATTCTGATTTCTAGTGAAATTAATTCAGTGTTGTTATTGTAAGTAAAGTCAGCGACGCCAACGATTTCTAGCTTGTGTGTAGACTAGCAGACCATGATGAGCCCCCTCTGCGGTCACGTTAGCCAGCAACACCATAGCTAACGTTAGCTACACACTTGGCTAGCTAAAGGGGAAATGTTGTCTTATAACTGTAATTAATCCGCGAAAGAGTAAACTGAAGCAAGCATCTGAGCCAGCTAAACATGGTAAGTTACATTTAACACGTATTACTTACTTCACGTTGTCTTCCTGTCTTGTTTGCTAACAGCTAACGTGGGTGCATACGGTTCTTATTCGTATTATTTGAACAGGGCGACCCACAGTTATCTATTCATAATGTGTTTAAATGACTCTACGTGTAGTTTAATCGTGTATGAGACATGCATTGCGGCCTTTCCATATCTGTCAATCCATATAACGGTTTGTGAGGCCAGGTAACGTTACTTCACGGGATGTGACAGCTCCTTAAAGCCATTTCACGATACAAGACGCCCATCTTGCAAAACAGAATATTTGCAGGGAGTAGTGTTGAGCCTCGGCAAGTTGTGGCTCATTCGAGGAATTCAGACCTGCCTGCCACGGGATCTGCTCTTTAAAATCTCTATTTGCTATCTCGTTTATGCTAGGCAGGGCCTAACTTCCTCCCCCTGCAGAAGCGTGGTATTACAATTGATATAACGCAGTTATTTTGAGTACAGCTTGCCTCATACAATCTTCAATACTGAACTCTATAAACCAATCAGATTGCATTTGTGAACTGTAGTATTGCAATGTGTTAACTACATTTCCATGAGACCATGCCAAACGTTCACAACATTATTGATTGATAGGGGGGGCTGCTATGTTCAGGCATGATGTATGTACAAGAAAATGTGTTTAAATCATTAAGTAGCCTGTCTGCAATGACCATCATACAAAATGCGTCTTCTTTAAATTAGCCTACAGGGAAACATGTTGAATGCATACAGCTATTTGTTGTAAAGAACCTACTTGAATGTTAAATGCATAATGAATATGAGTTAATGGTAATTAACTATTCTCTTCACTGTCAGGATGGGTTTCTTTTTCATTGAAAGTAAATGATTTGTCTTAAGTTGAGCTTCTTCTGTGCATGTATTCTCCATCAAACACACCATTGAATTGTATCCGTCAAACCGATAGATTTCTCTCATTCTGATGAATTGATGATTGCGACACTAATACTGTATTCAGTGGTTTTGGTTATGCACATTGTCATATAGAAACAACAAAATGGAGCTTTGTAATTGAATGTGCTTTATTTTGTTTCCTCTAGGCTTCAGAGGAGACATCGCTGCGTGCACTGGAGGGCCTAATGACCGAGTTCTTTCACAGCTGCACAACTAATGAGAGAAAGAGAGAAATAGGTAAGTGTGTCCTTGAAAACCCTACCAGCACAAATTAAATAATTGGCATGGTCAGCACGTACTTTCAGGTGTGTTTCCGCTGGTTTGTAAAGGAAATAGCAATGGACTTATCTCTAAAATAATGAAAAGGGAAGACATTTAGTCCGACATTTTCCTATGATCAGATAAATATCACATTAATTTACAATTTGAGGTTGTGTTTTATTCAATGTGAAACAATTGTAGGTCTCCCCTTGCTCTTTACTTAATTATAGTGTACATGTGACCTTATCTTTTTAAAAATAGATTCGTCAAATAAAGAAAAAGGACTCAAGAATTCTTCAAACAGTTGATAGATCTGGATCCCAAAATACATGTAGTGTATACTGAATACTGTAGTCTATGATTTGTCTCTGTAGAGTGTTTATTGTTACCTGAAATTATTTGCTTTCCTTTCTGCTGTTTTTTGCGTTGCCTTTTTACACACTTCCTGTGTTGTGACGCATTACTTTCGGTCTGTCTACATGTGAGAAAATTCATTTTCATGTACCTCTGTCAGAGATCATGCCTACTTCCTTTTTTCTGCAGAAGAGCTGCTGAATAACTTTGCACAGCAGACTGGAGCGTGGCGCCACTGCTTGTTCTTTCTCTCCAATACTCGGAATGAGTATGTCATGATGTACAGCCTCACAGTATTTGAAGTAAGTCCTATAGGTAGAAAATACATATTTGTAGTTCCTTTTACTGTCTGGGGCCTTGTCATGCTCTTAAAATAAGACCGTACACAGAGAAAGGTATTGTTTCATAGCTACTAAGAACAAAAATGTGTTTCTTCCTGTTCCTGTTTCATAATTTCAATAATTTCCGAAAACAAGTTAGCTTAATGTGTAATACATTTAGCAATGGATCAAAGGCTGAACATCCTGTGACTCCATACTTTCGCCTTATTACTACAGTGCCCTTTCACAACATGCCTTTTCGGAAAGGGCAGAATGCTTGGCCTGTGGTGTTGCTGCTTTTAGCTTTCTTGAGACCCGCTGCTCATAACAACTATACAATTAACACCTTGGGTCCTGAGCAATACATCTGCCATGACATAGTTTCACACAACCAAGCCATGGCTACGCACAATCAGAAAAACCGATGAGGTACACTGAGCAGAGGTCATTTCCAAGTTGGGATATAAGTCTCTTGCATTGACAAAACTCATGCGTCCCTAATTTGGATCGTGGATTTAATTAGCGGTTAATTAGTTACAAGTGAGTTTTGAGTCGTACACCAGGGGAATATAGTGTTACCCTCCGGGGAGGGGGAAAGAACAACACCTGCCCGGTTCAAACGACATGTTGGACTCCGTCTGCAGAACGCTGTAGATTGCCCGCGCTCCTGCAAACAGCACAGTTTTTTAATATTAATATTGAACACGTCTTCTGTCCAACTTGCACTTAATTTGGCATCTATACATCCAGGGGTCCTCAGCACAACGTGTAAAGTACATCAGATTAAAGTTGTGTTTTTTTTTGCAACATTATGTTTTTAATGAAATGTGAGTTAAGTGGGCACTGTAATGTTAAAAATAAATTCTTGACAAACTAAAAGTATAAAAATCATCTCACAAGAATTACTAGTTGGAGAGATTATGGTGTAATGTTTTTAAAAAAAAAAGCTTTTCTGATCGCCTTTAGACTCAGCTTTAACATCTGATTGTCCAATTTCTATTTCAGAACCTAGTGAACAAAATGTGGATCGGCGTTGCTTCACAAGACAAGATGGAGATTCGCAGCTGTCTGCCTAAACTCCTACTTGCACAGCACAAATTGGTGCCCTATTTTATCCGTAACAAACTGTGCAAAGTCATTGTGGACATTGGTCGCCAGGACTGGCCAATGTTCTACCATGATTTCTTTACAAACACACTTCAGGTAAGCCCTGCTCTGTCAAATGTATTTGAATGCATTTCATGTTTACTTTCTATTATCGTGTAACATTTGGAACAAGGTGTTTTTAAATAGTCACTGTTATGAGGATGTTGCTCGACATGGGGAAGTGCAGAAGCTATAATATGACCCACAAGAAAATTGCTCAATGTCTTCTTTTTATTTTTAGTTTATTGCCCCGGAACGCAGTCATGAAAGAAATCTTTGCTATTAGCATGCTTTGAATAATCAAAGAGTGGCTGCCATAAGAGCAGTTTGGAGATATCCAGTGTTTACAAGATATGATTTAATGTACATTTTGGACCCTTTAGGGACAATTACGCCACATTTCGCACT